TATATTATATTAAAAACAAAAAAAATCAACGATCGGAGAGAGAGAGAGACAGAGATTGAGAGAGTTTACCTGTGAAGTAGATTGATCGGCTGTGCGATGATGATCGGTGCGATGAGATGAGAAAGAGAGTGATCGGTGCAGAAAGTTTCTACGTTGAATGATCGGCTGCCAGAAACGAGAGAGTGAGAAAGAGAGACAGTGAGATGGTGAGGTGAGTGATGGTGAGACTGAGAGAGAGAGAGAGTGAGGGAGCCGATTATAGATTAGGGTTTTTTTTCTTTGTTTTGTTTGTTTATATGGTGAGTGAGAGATGGACGGTTAGATTTGAAAGAGGGAAAAAAAAATGAATTTTTTTTTTTTTTGATTTTTTTATGAATTTTTTTCTTCTAATTTTCATTACAAATGAATATTTAAATAATAAAAGATTTTTTTTTCGTAACGAGAGGATGTCATTGCTAAAAAAATTATTTTTTTTAAAATAATTTTTTTATAGTTAATGAATTTTATTTTATTTTATTTTTTTCATTTAGTAAGGTTAAAAATTTATTTGTTTCATATTTATTTTTAATGAATATAAAATTATTTATTATTTTTTTATTTGGTAGAAGTAGGGATAATATTTTCCATTAAAATAAAGTTAATTTTTTTTCCAAATAGAGAGAAAGAATATGAGAGAAGATCTCTCTCTAATATATAATTTTAAAATTTATCGTACGTCACATAAACAAATATTTATTTAAAAATTTTAAAAATTACAACATAACATGAATTCCTAAAGTTTAAAGGATGAGGGATTAATAGGCGTAAATATACATTGTTTTTCTTTTATCATTGTATTTTAAGTTATTTTGTTCAAACTATGTTGTGTTTCATGTGTCTAAATGACAGACTTATGTGTTCCTAGAGTGTCCAAAACATGTCCGGTTCTCAAAAAAATAATAGGACACGCTTGGACGAATGTCCGACATGGACACACCTGAGAAGTCTCTACACTTCTTAGGTGTTCAGTCCCACAAAACAAAAAAAAAAAACAAGTAAACTCAAATAAG